TGTCAAGTCTGCTCATGCTATGTCTGTTCAAGTCAAGTCTGTGTCTTGGATTATTGTTTGGATCACTCTGTAAATAAACTGCACTTGGGTTCTCACTACGCTCGCCTTCAGTGGATGGACTCTTTACACATATACATCTGAGTCAGCATGAGGGTGAGCAAATGATGAGAGAATTTTCATTTTTGGGTGGAGTAGCCCTTTAAGTCAGTGAAAGCTGTCATTCCTTCTCAGTTCACAAGATTGCCAAAAGCAAACATTCCTTTAAAATCATAATCCTAGACTTTGTCACCAGACAGGGATGTCACGAAGCAAGAGAGATGAGTTTGCAGCCAAGACCTTTTTAGAACAGACCATTTGTCACTGTCAATACTGCAAACAAACTTCATGAAGTTGTTTGCTGTGCAATGGCCATAAAGCATCCACCCACAGATTGTATTTGGGTGATAACTTGGCATCACAACTTGTCAGGCCAGTGCTATTCTTCCTCTGGCTAAGAGCAAAGCTACTTTGGACAGATTGCTTATTAGGCTATTTTGGACATTGTGTGTTTGCTTTAGAGAACTTGGATCATTTTGGAAGTACTTTTAGATGTCTGAGGGGACAGATTTTGGGATGCCCATTTTCTACGTCTGTTAGTCTGTCTGTCTTTTCTGTAATCATGAACATGCTTATTATTAATTCATCAACAAGTGTCAGTGTTTTTTTTAAATCATTCAGGACAGTCTATCTATTGACAAGACTTTTCGCCAAGCGTTTGTTAAAGGAAGTTCACAGAGAGAATGGTCTCTTTCTTTCCTTTGCAGAATTAATGCTGAAACATCAACTTTGTATGAATAATAGAAATAGTGGTGTAGCCAAGAGGTTAAAGATTTGGGCTAGTAATTTATGGAGGACTATGTGTAACGGGGCTGACGAGACGTGAGACGTGTGGATCCATCTGCAGGCTTTATTAAAGAGACTTAGTACACAGGCAGGGTCAAAACAATGGCAAACAGGTATATGGCGGGCAAAACACAAGAATAGTCTTAGGGCTAGCGTAGGTCACCGATCAGCAGACAGAATCAAAAGGGGCGAGACGAGAGGGAGAAATCCAAGGAAACAGGCAAAGATCAGAAACCGCAAAAAACAGGCAAGGCAAAACAAGGAAGACACGGAGACTCGGAAAGGGGTACAGGCTAAACAATACTCAGCAGAGAAATGTGGTTAGAGTGGGTGTTATATAGAGAATGAGGTAATTAGAAACAGCTGTGTGCAATGAGTGCAATCAGGGCAGTGTGCAAATTGTGCAAAGAATGATGGGAAATGTAGTCCGGGGTGCTATGCAACAGTTTGTGTAGTGCGAGAGTCAATGAAATGGAAAGGGTGACCTCTGGTGGTGAATAAACAGAAATCCATGGACTGAATTCGTGACACTATGACTGCCACTTAAAAAGATTGTAATATCAATATTTTAATAAAAAAATAAAACATTCAATAAATACTTTTTTTTCAAATTGTGAAATAAATAGATGTGTACATAATTCATATTAAAATTGTGGTTATAAAAATGAATGAATTAATAATTGAATTATTTAAATGTCATTGTTATAGGTATTCAAAAGTGCTCTTTTACTACCGTTTTGCAAAGTGGTATAGTGTATAATGTTACAAAAGCTTTTTATTTCAGCTTTCTATTCATCAAAGAACCCTGAAAAAATTTACTCAACTGTTTAAAAATATTGATAACAATAATAATAAATGTTTCTTGAACAGCAAATAAGCATATTAGAATGATTTCTGAAGGATCAAATTAATTTAAATTTAGCTTTAATCCCAGGAATAAATTACGTTTTAAAATATATTCAAATAGAAACCAGTTATTTTAAATAGTATTTTCACAATATTAATGCTTTTGCTGTATTTTGGCTCAAATAAATGCAGGCTTGGTGAGCAGAAGAGTATTCTTTAAAAAAAACATAATTTTTTTTGACTGTGTATATATAGGAATTTATGAAGTGATTCATTTATTCATTATTTTTCATGTTTTTATTCAGCAATAGCATTATCACTAAGAACATTATTCCCTTCTGTCATTGCATCTAAAGAAATGCTTGGCATTGGCAGTCAGACAATAAAGAACATGCTTTGATAGGTTTCTGAGTAGAAACAGGCATACAAGGCAGTGCATACTAACCATCCTCTCTGTGATTTCTCTGATTTGTGTCTGATGACAGGTGGGGAAACAACCGAGTTGCAAATTGCAAGGGGAGAGAATAAAGCAATAATAAAGGATTTTAATCCCAGGAAGGAGTATTCAGTCAAGGTTATAGCTGTGAGTGGAAACCTGCACAGCCGAGCACTTCAGGGAAAATATGCTGGTACGAAATACCTTGTTTCTTTGAAGCAATCCCGCTGAAACGGATTGCAAGTGAAAATAATGTGTTTGATTTGTAGTCTCCTGTGAGTTTCAAGAAAACAATGAAAAAAAATTAGTGCCTTGAAAATAACAGCATCAGTTTTGCATAGTAACATTGTGTATACAAATATACGGGGCTTACATGTTTAAGAATAAGTTATTCATATACTGATATTAAAAAAATTAGAAAATTGTAATTGTATATTTAGTTAAAGTTATACACGGTATGTTATACATGTATGGCTGAGTTTTTTGGACTTGTTTAATTCCTCATGTCTCTTCAGCAGAAGACCAGAGCAGTGATGGAGACACCACTCAAACTCAAAGACTGAAAGAACCAGGAACTGTGGATGAGGGCAATGAGATCTCAGGAGGTAAACCCAAAGTTTAACCTCCCCAGATGTTTTTATTGATCAGATGTTGCTCTTTCACAGCGTGGAGCCTTAAAGGGATAGTTCAATCAAAAGTAAAAATTGCCCCATGATTTACTCATCCTCAAGCCATCCTAGGTGTATATGACTTTCTTTCGAATATAATTGGAGTTATATAAAAAAATGTTTTTTAAACAAAAAGATTTTGAAGAGCCAAAAAGTGCATCCATCTATTATAAAAGTACTCCAAACAGCTCCGGGGGGTTAATAAAGGCCTTCTGAAATGAATCGATGCTTTTGTGTAAGACAAAGATTCATATTTAAAACGTCATACGTCAAACGCTGAAAAGCCACTCTCTTGTGAACACGTGTATGATAGTAAGCAGAAGCTAGAGATTAAGGTTTATAAAGATTTAAATATGGATATTTTTCTTACATTTTGCTTCAGAAGGCCTTTATTAACCACCCAGAGCCGTGTGGAGTACTTTTACTAAGGATATATGCACTTTTTTGGGCTTCAAAATCTCAACCCCATTTCACATAAAGCTCGGAAGAGCCAAGACATTTTTTTAATATAACTCTGACTGTATTCATGTGAAAGAAGAAAGTAATATACACCTAGGATGGCTTGAGGAGCTTTAATAGAGTTCTCAGGGTTTTCCTTTTAAGTGTCAGCCTTGTTCAGATGTTAAAAGTCTTTAGGAGGGATGAACATGAGGCAGTTATTTCACACAATTATCAACAATCCGTTTTCATATGAAAACATAACTATTTTATGAACGGGTCATTTTGATGGAATTTGTAGTATTTGATTTGTATGAAACAACTTATATTTTCCACCCCTAAACCTAACTGTCAGTGGGACATAAGCAGATTGAATGAGATCGTACAAATTCTGTGAATTTGCCACTAAATTGATAAAAAGTAAAATGGCTATGGATTGCGCTGATTAGTGTATTGGTAAAAGTTCTGAAATTGATACCTCATATCAATTTCTTTCTAGTCTTGAGAGAATTTGTTGGGAAATATTTAAGTTCATAGTAAAATCTCAAATTTTGGCAAACTTTGGTATCTTGGGACACACTTTGTGAATGTGACGTTGAAACTCTTGAGAAAACATGAGACTCTTTTTCTCAGGAGAAAACGTATGCAATACATGAAAATCTCTATTCACTCATTTCGGAGACAACTGAGATATTGAAGACATATCTCTTGTGGTTCTTCTTTTCTATCGGCTCTTCTCTTGTGGGTCTTCCTTTTCAAAGTCACTTTTCCTTTTATCTTTCACTTTACAACAATATAAGCTATATGAATTTCTCCATACGTTCTTCTGAGACTTATTATTGCTGTTTTTCCAGTGAGAGCTGCCCTCCTGTCAAGATATTACAGCCGCGCTGTTGTCAATGATGTATAAGAACTGAAACTGGCTGAAGTTGCAGGGGGCATCTCTCTGTAGATCCCATCATCGCCGGTTTTTATGTCCCTGGCATACTTGACAAAATGAGCATGTTCAGGAAGTCAAAGTCAAAGATGATGTTCCTGTCTGAAAGTTTCTGCTGATGTCTCTCAGGGCCAGACCTTAGTATCTCAGCCCAGTCCAATATAACAGCAATTTGTTACAATTCTGAGGGCATTAGTGTACTCAGAGGAATATATGCTGGAGTTTTGACCTAAAAGATATGTTACAAAGTACAGATGATACCGAGGAGGTTGAATGCGAGGGTAAGGTTTCTGAACTCATGGTTGACTGTGCAAGAGCCGTGTCTACAGCCCTTCTCAGTTGGCTTTTTGCTTGGCTCAAAAGAGAGATTCAGCTTTGTTTAGCCGTGAACATTGATGTTTAGTGGGTGTAAAAACAGCCCAGGCTGCTTGGAGGCTGAAATGTGCTCTTGAGTGAAGCATTTAACTCGGGTTCCTCTGTAAGATGGCTTTTGTGCTACGTGGTCTTGCATCTGTTGTTTGGAGTCTTTAATTTAGGACACCTCTGTGTGCCTGCCAAGTGGCAGAGGTTTGAAATTGGTATGGCTCTCACAGACCTTAGCTGTCCTGTTTTCCTCTTCAGACTGCTGTCAGAGTTGGCAGGATTTGGCACGCGGACTCCAAGTGGGTGGTGGAGCTCTGATTCTGTTCAGTTCTGTTAAGAATGACTGCACACTTTGATTATGACTGAGCACTAATTTGATTCTCTGCTTAAGATCTCATTAGCGCAGAATAATAATGACATAATATTTCAAAGCGAGAACTTGATGATGGGAATTGCCACAAGAGGGTTATCGCTGGCACAAGGCATATTCAGACAGATAGATGATGTCCTGCTGCCTGTATCTGTGTGTGTGTGTGTGCTGGTGGGATGGGATGGTGGGCTATCACAAAATCATACTCTTCTTTGATGTACCATCCCTGGGAATGTGTCCAAGCAGCAAGCGTGAAAGTAAATGGTTATCTGAGGATCCGTGCCATCAGTGTGGGCTGTAAAATGACACTTTGAGCTCAACAAAAAAGGTCAGATTTTTATATCTCTTCCCAATCCTCTTATTCACAAATGAGCATTTCCAGAAGCAAATTAAAAAGGTGGCATAAACACAAAGCTGTTGCTTTTTATCTTCTCACCAAACAGGTCTTTATGGGATGTCTGTAATTGTGATTCATGCTCAACATCTGTGGGTATATATGAGGTGAAGAAAAAAATTGTAGCTCGCTGTGCAAATGACAATTTTGCAGTCAAATGAACAAACAAACACTTAAATGGCAAGCAGCAATTCTGAAATGTGGCTACTGCACATTTCCTGACTTTTCAGAAAATCAGTTGCTGCTAATTTATGTTCATGAGCCTTGAATAATTTTTTTTGTCAGAACGACCTTACTTTTTTTTTTTTTTTTAAGAATAATTAATACTGCAGGGATGCATAAAAAGTAATTAATTTCCTCAAAAATAATAAGCACTAAACATTAATAACAAGAACTGTTTCTTGAGCACCAAATCAGCATATTAGAATATTTTTTAAGCTTCATGCGACACTGAAGACTAAAGTAATGGCTGCTGAAATTCTGCTTCTCACCACATTAATAAATACAATATGTATTTTAAATATATTGAAATAGAAAACATATTTAAACAAGATATTACATTGTAATAATATTTCACAATATTATAATTTTTACTGTATTTCTGTTTAAATAAATGAAGCATTGATAAACATAAGAAACATAAGATTTATTTTTGGCCTTTATTTTGGTAGGACAGTTGTAGAGAGAACAGGAAGTGAAGTGGGAGAGAGACAGAGGTGGGATCAGGAAAGGATCTTGAGCCAGGACTCAAACTCGTGTTGCCTGTGCCACATGTCAGAGCGCTGCCAACGAGGGCATCAGTTCCAACAAACATATGAGACTGTTTACAAAAATCATTTTTCTGACCCCAAACTTATGACATCAAGTCTTTTTTCAAATTCAGAAGAATATTTATTCATCCAAGTGAATCAAATCTTTAGAATCCATTCACCAGAAAGATTTGTTCACACATTTGTTCAGTGACTGTTTCTTCAGGTTTCATTGTTACACAAGTCGGTGGCAACATTTGAGCATTTTTTTTGCAACTTTTTGCGCCTTTATTTTGATAGTACAGTTGGAAGTGGAAGTGGAAGTGAAGTGAAGTGGGAGAGAGAGACTCAAACTTGGGTCGCCTGAAGCACAGCCGCGCCGTGTGTCGGAGTGCTGCCCACGAGGCCATCAACTCCAGCACAAATTAGCATCTCATGTGTGTTATGAGTCATTATTTGTTGACGACTGAAACAAGCTGACTCTTTCGAGTCATTGTTTTCTCCACAAATGACCAAAAATCTGTTATTTTTACCTGCATACTCCAAATTGTGTGCATGATTTTACCAAGCTAGTCGAAATGAATTAGAGTTTCAATAACGTCTTCATGTCCTTTAAATTATGTATGGTCATCAGTCATTTTTATCACTCAGAGTCTCATTCACACATAAAGTCAGTCAGTTTTTTAATGCAGAAACATGGTTTAAGTAAAAAAAAAAAAAAAAGTCGAGAATGGTTTGTTCGTTTTAAAGATTGAGTCAAAAACATTTATCAAACATGATTGTATAATGAGAAAGGTATTCAGAATGCAACTTCCACTGTCTGGATTGGATCTGGATCTGTCAGGCTCGCTGGAAAAGGCGATGGTGGTCAGCGGTCAGGTCTGTTTCACACAATCCCCCTTCTCCCACCCTCCCTGATAATAGTGTGAGAAGAAAGGCCTGATAATGGTCTTTTCTGACCTTTTTTTGTCAGAGGGCAGGGCACTGGAGTAAGGTGAGAGGGCTATTATTTAGGAATTCAGTACCTGGAGCCACTGTAATCTACAGAGAGATGATATCACTCCCTGAGAGAACCCAAGGTGACTGCATGGGGGACGCTTTGCTTCACCTCAAATGACCTTTTTTCTAATCAAAATCGGCCTCACCTGATGGTATTTTTAATGTGAGATTTTTTGCAGAGGGAGGCGCTTTTAATAAGCGATCATTGGTGTAGAACATTATTCTTGGAGGTGCTGTATAAGGTGCAGAGATGGCTGTCCTTTAAAGCGCTCCGCTGCCCTGCATTAGGGTGTGCGACGCACTGGGAATACTAATAATGTCTATTTTGGCTCCGGTCTCATGTGGCAGGTTGCTGAGGTAGGCAGTGATAAGGACAACGCTCTGGATCTTCCTCACAAGGAGGAAGGAGCTCCAGGACTTTCTCTGAAGGAGACTTTCGGAGTGTGACGTCTTATCAGGCCCTGCGGCCCGCTGGTGGAGGGAGCCGATAGGCAGAGCGTTTGGCTACGATGAAGCAGCATGTCAAATCGCAGATAGGCCACTTTTTCGGTGTGTCAGCTGAACTACGTCTTAAAATTCGAATGCTGTACACATCTGCCTGGAAGTGTGTTTAGGAATACTTCTATATGACTAGAATGAATTAAAATGACATGTTATACCAATTCATTTAATATTTAATCACTGTGC